TAGGTGTGTAAATAACATTACTTTTCAAAAATTTGATAGTTTAAACGTCCGATGCAGCAATAAATGACATAGCAGCACAATTGTAGTTCATGATAGTTGAATCGAGGACCTGAACTTCCATCAACAAAGACTATGGGTCATTAGACCAAACTATCATCTATCATCATGTATTTAGTTTGCCCAAAAAGTATAATTATGTACTAGTATTTTGGTTCATTTTTTGCTTTTATATTTATTTGGTCTTCTTGTGTTAATTCATTAACCGCTTTTTAGCCAAAATGGTCATTTAGATTTGTGTAAGTCCTCATTTTGGTCTCTGAGATTTAAAATCCATATAAGTGGTCCATGAGATTGTCCACAATCAATCATTTTGGTCATTGGATGAAAAATTATGTTAAATAAGGATCAAAATGACAAAATTACCCTCAATTTAATAAACAATATGCTAAAATGATTTGACCAAAATCAAGGGTATTTTTGTCATATTATCCTCATTTTATAGAGATTTTTCATGAAAATGACCAAAATGATTGATTGTGGACAAACTGAAGGACCCATTCTATTGATTTCAAATCTCAGGAACTAAAATGAGAAATTATGCAAATTTCAGAAATCATTTTGACCAAAAAAACCTTTATTAACAGCTTAGCATTTGAGGGTTGATATACGAGTCAAAGATGAAACCCCTTAACTAGTGTTAAACGAAAAGGATTTTAAGGTGCCAAAGTCAAGCCTTGCAGGGGTGGAGAATGCTGCTCTATTTTCTTAAAAATTGTGTCTTAAATTAATTAATCAAATGATTAAGGTGGTAGGGTTTGCTCTAGTTAAGTTTGAGATTCTTATCCTTCATGACGTGAACGAAATTATAAGTTATTTCAAGTGGTTTTTGGTTAATTAGCTGGGCAATTGTTTTCAGTTTTAAAAATATAGGAAAGCTTGGTTTGACTGAACAAGAGCAAGATTGCTCAACTAATTTTTAAGCTACATAGAACACATTTATTGATTGTATTGTTAATCACGTCTCTTAAACTAAAGAAATTCAATAAATATGATACGAACAATTGCCATAACTTGTGCAAAGTCATACAATTTTTGTAACAAAAAGGAAAAATAATTGTCATAACTTATGGGATAAAACTTACCCTAAAAGACGGATTTGTAATTAGAGAAGACAATGAGCTTATATAACAAAATTATTAACGTGAAAGATAGAATATTTTTTATATACGAATAAAAATTACAAAGAGAAGCCCCTCGGGCAAGAACTAAAACAGAAATCCCAAAACCAAGCAGCACGAGCTTCACAGGAAAGAGTGTATCACTAAACCTAACAATCATGACACAGATGATTAGGAATGGGCAGCGGTTATGGCGGGTGGATAAGCGTGGTTATTTACTCATAATTGGTTATGTTCATACCCGCATAATCGTTTACTAGTTGGGTAATTGCACAAACGGTTATACCCATATCCATAACTGTTTACAAATAGTTAACCGTACCCATAACCGTGTACCCATTTAACCATAACTATTTACCCATTTAACCATAATCATTTACCTATTTTTGACTTCATCCTTTTTTTACCTATTTACCCTTTTTTTCACCCGTCTACATGTTTTTTTTAACAACTTGAAAATTACAAAAGAAAATTTTGTCATAATTTTCGTTTTCTGACAATTAAACACCGTTATAGATACATTTTAGCATACATTTCCCTATTTTAATCATTTAAGTTCTTATACAATTTCAATAATTGAAATAATAGTTTTCAAACGATATTTTTTTGCTACACCAGAGCAAGTCTTTAATTATAATCCATATGATTGCAAAGTAAAGCTTATAAAAACAAAAAGTAGTCATTATCTTAAATGCTAGATGATTCAAAGCTCCAAAATATTCCGAAACTAAACACTTTTGAACACTAATGTTTTAGCACGTTCAATCACGAAGTCTCATTGACGCGTTGTCATCAAAAGAGGCCTACAAAAGAAATGTAAAATTGAATTAGTATCCCATTTAGGAACATCGACACCAATTAGCATGAGAGAGAGGGCGGCGAGGAGAGATAGATGAGCAATGGAGATGAGAGGGAGGGCAGCGAGGAGGGAGAGATGAGCGGGAGACGAGGCGTTTGAGATTCTTGAGTTTGGTGAAGGGATTGAAAATTTAGGGTTTTTATTTTATTTTTTAATTTTACATATATTAAATTAAATGGGTAAATGGATACCTGTTATAACTGCAGGTAATACCCATAATCGATGGATATCCGTTATAACAGCAGGTAATAACCATAACCGTCCCTTTAAATTTCACGGATAAACGGTTATATCCATAACTGTTTGTTTATCTAAATGGTTATTCATAACCGTAAACGTGAACTTTAAATGGGTGGGTAACTGCAGTTATCCAAACCCATAGGTATTTTACCCATCCCTACAAATGACCAATTTTAGCTAACGCATCAACCACAAAATTTACCTCTCAATAAATATGACAAAATGAAATATTTTACAAGTTGCAAGCAGTCGGCTGAATATTAAACACCAATGTATTGAGATGCCAAGCAATAGAGCTGGTCTCGTTAATCGCATCAATGATCAGAACATAAAAAATTTCAGTTAATGTTGTGCAATGTACGAAAATGAAGAAAAATACATACATTATCTCGCCAATATATGCACCTAGCTTACTAAGACTTGTGCAATTGGCTGGGTTTTGAACTAATTTTGGGTCGATGACTTGTCCCAGTTCGTCTTACTAACCAACTCCACTACTCCCAGAACTAGAAACAATTTAAGGCTCCTACTATAATTTTCACTACTATTACTACTACCTAACGATAAGTGAGTTTATCAAGTTCGTTTCATTTGTGAGCGGGCTTATCAAGTTCAATTTACTTGAATGATGAATTTGATATCCAATTATAGTTTTTTCAAGGGTTAATTACAAAAAACTACCTCAAGTTTGGGTCAAATGACACTTTCATACCTCATCTTTTAAAATTGACAATGTCATACCTCATCTTACGAATTTGTGTCAATGTTATACCTTCCGTTAGCTTGGTCGTTTATTTCTCAGTTAAATGCTGACGTGGCTTGATGCGGGACCCATTTTTATTAAAAAATTAATAAAAAAATTATTAAAAACAAAAAAAATCATTTAATATTATTTAAATATTAAAATAATAAATACCCTTTTTTTTTCTTCTCTCTTCCTCTTCTTCTTCTTCTTCCTCTTCTTCTTCTTCTTCTGCAGGGGGCCGAACTGGGCTTCTTTTTTTTTTTTTTTTTTTTTTTTTTTTTTTTTGTTTTCTTCTCTCTTCTTCTTCTTCCCTCTTCTTCCCTCTTCTTCTTCTTCTTCTTCTTCTTCTTCTTCTTCTTCTGGGGGCCGAACTGGGCTTTTTTTTTTTTTTTTTTTTTTTTTTTTCTTCTTCCCTCTTCTTCCCTCTTCTTCCCTCTTCTTCTTCTTCTTCTTCTTCTTCTTCTTCTTCTGGGGGCCGAACTGGGTTTTTTTTTTTTTTTTTTTTTTCTGGGTTTTTTTCTGTAGGTCCATGGTTATTTCGTGCATCTTCCCCTCTCTCTTCCCCATCATCTTCCTGCAACCCAGCAACCCAGAAAAGAAGAAGGAGAAAGAAGAAGAAGAAGAGAAAAAAAAAAAAAAAAAAAAAAAACCCCAGTTCGTCCTCTGCAGAAGGGGAAGAAGAAGAAGAAGAAAAAAAAAAAAAAAAAAAAAACAAACAGCAGCAACCCAGTTCGCCCCCCTCACACCCACCCTCTCCTCTCCACACCCATTCCCCACCCCACTCCCCCCCCCCCCCCCCCGCGCGGACCCCCGTTGCCCATTTTCTCCTCGCCCAGGAGAATGGGTTTTTTTTTTCTGGGTTTTTTTTTTTTTTTTTTTTTTTTTTTTTAGGGGTTGTAGATGGTGGGTGCGAGGTTGGGGTGCGAAGGTGGGGAGGTTGGGTGCGTGGATGTGGGGAGAAGAGGGGGTGAGGAGCAAGGAAAACAAATTAGTTTTTTTTTTTCTTTTTTTTTCTCTTCTGTTTTTCTGGGTTGTAGTTGCAGAAAGGGGAAGAAGATGAAGATGGGGAGAAGGGAGAGAGGGGGGGAAGGGAGAACTGACGTTGGTTTTTTTTTTTTTTTTTTTTTTTTTAAATAATTTTTCTTTATTATTTTAATATTTAAATAATATTAAATGATTTTTTTTATTAATTTTTTAATAAAAATGGGTCCCAGATCAAGCCACGTCAGCATTTAACTGAGAATAAACGGCCAAACTAACGAAAGGTATAACATTGACACAAATTCGTAAGATGAGGTATGACATTGTCAATTTTAAAAGATAAGGTATGAAAGTGTCATTTGACCCATACTTGAGGTAGTTTTTTGTAATTAACCCTTTTTTCAACAAAGATATTCCATTAGAGCTGACCCATTTGGTTTAGCTCAAATCCCATCCTTAATGTCATTGTATATATAACAAATGGTTCGAATCTGAGGACACATGCTTTTGACATACATTTTGACACCTATTTGTAGAGCCTATTTTATAAAGTATTTCAACGGTCATAACCGTTTATATTTTAGTACATCATTCGTAGATCATCATTGCAAAAACTTAGACAAATCTAAAATCATTAAGACATTCATTTGTAGTGAAAAAAAAATAGACGAATACGATTCAACAAAGAAACACTAAATTTAATCCAACGGTCATATAATTTCGAACTTGGGTGATTTTTAGACGATATGATACATAAAAGATAGACGGTTGAATCTTTAAAATACATTATGGAAGAAGCTCTACAAAATATGTCAAAATATGTGTCAAAAACGTGTGTCACAAAACTTCTTCACACCTTTTATTTTAGTCCGAAATGATATGATCCAACCCATTGGTTTGGTACGGTTTGCAACCCAACTGAAATGATCCAACTCAACTTAAACCAACGCAACCCAACCCCATCCTCCATCGGCCCAGTCCAACTGTTCCTCTCGCACTCTCCCTCACCTCACTCTCTCTCGTCAGTCGTCTGTCACTTCCAATCCAAGCCACCACCAACACACCAAATTCAAAACACCGAATCCCCCACCATTCACCATCCAAACAAACGCCCAGATCTCCTCCTCCTCCTCCTCCACATTTCTCCGATTCAGATCCGACTTTCCCCGATTCGGATCCGCCGAGATCCAATCCCAATTTCGGATCCCCAATGGAGAAGTCGTGCACTCTCCTGGTCCACTTCGACAAGGGCACCCCCGCCCTCGCCAATGAGATCAAGGAAGCCCTCGAAGGAAACGACACCGAATTGAAGATCGAAGCCCTGAAGAAGGCCATCATGCTCCTCCTCAACGGCGACACCATCCCTCACCTCTTCATCACCATCATTCGCTACGTCCTCCCCTCCGAGGACCACACCATCCAGAAGCTCCTCCTCCTATACCTCGAGATCATCGACAAGACCGACTCCAAGGGGAAGGTCCTGCCGGAGATGATCCTCATCTGCCAGAACCTCCGCAACAACCTCCAGTCCCCCAACGAGTACATCCGCGGCGTCACGCTCCGGTTTCTCTGCCGCTTGAATGAGTCCGAGATTATCGAGCCTCTTATCCCTTCGATTCTCGCCAATTTGGAGCACCGCCACCCGTTCGTGCGGCGGAATGCGGTCCTGGCGATCATGTCCGTGTACCGCCTGCCGCAGGGGGAGATGTTGCTGGACAGCGCGCCGGAGATCATAGATCGGTTCTTGGCATCGGAGCAGGACCCTTCGAGTAAGCGAAATGCTTTTCTTATGCTGTTTAATTGCGCGCAGGATAGGGCTGTGAATTACTTGTTTAAGCATATCGATAGGATTATTGATTGGGGGGAACAGTTACAGATGGTTGTGTTGGAATTGATTAAGAAGGTCTGTAGGGTTAATAAAGGTGAGAAAGGGAAGTACATTAAGGTTATTATATCATTGCTTAATGCCCCGTCGAGTGCGGTTGTTTATGAGTGTGCCGGAACCCTTGTGTCATTGTCCTCGGCACCTACTGCAATTCGGGCAGCTGCCAACACGTACTGTCAGTTGTTGTTGTCTCAGAGTGATAACAATGTGAAGTTGATTGTGCTGGATAGGATTAGTGAGCTTAAGGCATCACACAGGGAGATTGTGGTTGAGTTGGTTATGGATGTGCTCAGGGCATTGTCGAGTCCTAATGTTGATATTAGGAGGAAGACTCTTGACATTGTGCTTGATTTGATTACTCCTGCGAATGTTGATGAGGTTGTGATGATGTTGAAGAAGGAGGTTGTGAAGACTCAGAGTGGGGAACATGAGAAGAATGGGGAGTATAGGCAGATGTTGGTGCAAGCAATATACGCATGTGCTGTTAAGTTTCCTGAGGTGGCTAGCACAGTGGTGCACCCCTTGATGGATTTCTTGGGCGATTCGAATGTGGCTTCAGCCCTGGACGTGGCTGTTTTTGTGCGTGAGATCATTGAAACCAACCCCAAGCTGCGTGTTTCTATAATAATGAGGCTGCTGGATACTTTCTACCAGATCCGCAATTCCAGGGTGTGTACTCATGCTCTATGGATTATCGGCGAGTATGCTCACTCGCTTTCTGAAGTTGAGAGTGGGATTGCAACCATTAAGCAGTGTCTTGGGGAGCTTCCATTCTACACTGCTTCCGAGGAAAAGGAGGCACAAGATGCTTCAAAGAACTCTCAGGTGGTAAGCTCGAGCACTGTGTCTTCTAGGAGGCCTGTGGTCCTTGCAGACGGGACCTATGCCACCCAGTCTGCTGCTCTGGAAACTGCGATGTCTGCACCTGTCCTTGTTCAAGGATCTCTGACTTCTGTGGGGAACTTGAGGTCATTGGTTCTCTCGGGTGATTTTTTCCTTGAGTCAGTTGTGGCTTGCACATTAACGAAGCTTGTTTTGAGATTGGAAGAGGTTCAGCCTTCAAAGGTTGAAGTGAACAAGGCAACCACACAAGCATTGTTGATCATGGTCTCTATGCTGCAACTGGGACAATCCTCAGTCCTTCCACATCCGATTGATAATGATTCTCAAGATAGAATTGTTCTTTGCATCCGATTACTATGCCATAAAGGTGAAGGAGTAAAGAAGATATGGCTGGAGTCATGTAGACAAAGCTTTGTGAAAATGCTTGCAGATAAGCAGCTCCGGGAAACAGAAGAAAGTAAAGCTAAGGCCCAGATATTGAATGCACAACCTGATGACCTTATTGATTTCTACCATCTCAAGAGCAGAAAGGTAAGGAAGACTTATGCTTCTCGTCTTTTGCATTCAGTAAAGTTAATATCCTATCAAGGGTTTGATATTGTTTCTTTATGGATTTTTCTTTCGTTTCAGTTTGTTATGATAGACTTTTGGTCATGTTCTGATTTGCTTTAGATATTGAGGCAGATTATTTTTCTTAACTATTTAATGGTAATTTAGCAGTTTATAAAGTTGTGGTACAAACAACCTGTAAACTGTAGTTCAGATCGACCACCAAAACCATCGTTTGTATCACATACTTTTGAATGTTTTTCTTATATGCATATATTTTTCAGGGCATGAGCCAGCTTGAGTTGGAAGATGAGGTCCAAGATGATCTCAAACGTGCTACTGGAGAGTTCACAAAGGATAACGATGACGCGAACAAGCTCAACCGCATTCTTCAGCTCACAGGATTCAGTGATCCTGTTTATGCTGAAGCCTATGTTACAGTTAATCATTATGACATTGTTCTTGATGTTACTGTCATCAATCGAACAAAGGAAACCCTTCAGAATTTGTGCTTGGAGTTGGCCACAATGGGTGATCTCAAACTTGTTGAACGTCCGCAAAACTATACACTAGCTCCGGAATCAAGCAAACAGATAAAGGCAAACATTAAGGTCTCTTCAACTGAAACGGGAGTTATATTTGGTAACATTGTGTACGAGAGTTCTTCAAATGTGCTTGATAGAACGGTTATTGTCCTCAATGACATCCATATCGATATAATGGATTACATCTCTCCTGCATCATGCACTGATGTAGCATTTAGGGCAATGTGGGCTGAGTTTGAGTGGGAGAATAAGGTACACTGGTTTTGATACATTTTTACATTATTTTCTGTGCTTCATTGATATGATCATTTGGTGCATCTTGGAGAAATGGCTTCTCAATGACTCTAAAGGATCTCACTTCTTTAAACAATCATTTGATATTTTATGTGGACAGATATTGATGTTGCGATAAGGCTTAGGAGACATGCGTTCATATGATGAACCACTTTATTAACATTTAATTGTTTGATGTATCTGGTTATGAATATTGATTATGATGATGTTGTGCTAGTAGTAAACTAGAAAAGTATATAATATTTGCGGTGGTTGTTGTACTGTTTGTCAATGGGTGGTAAACGTTGGTGATGATTACTGCCATGTGCTAGCACCTTGCTAGTTGTCCTTATTTTTTAATGGTAGTAGGATTGTCTCCAACCCTCAAAGATATGATGCATCGTGGGCAACTCTTTCATTTAGCCAAGTCACATACATTGATCCCAGTTAAACTCTCTATAGGACAGCTGTCAAGCCTCAGAAATCACTTTTGTCGTTCTAGTAGATATATATATATATATATATTTGTTTATTTATATTCAATTTTATGTTTTGTGGTTGTTGCACCTTAAATTATGCAAATTTATCAATTTCTTTAATGTTATATAATCCCTGGTGGACATCAAATTTGGCTTATGTTTCCTATGTCATAAAGGGGATAATTTAGACGGTGTTTCTGAATTGTCATTGGTTGCTAGCTCATGAATCATCTTTTCATAAATGTGTTGCTCATTTTATGATTATATAGTTCTCATGGATTTATTTTTCATTCTCACATCAAAAGGCAATGTGCATCATATGTGTCGATATTTGGTTTTGTTCCTTGATAGATACATTTGGATTCTACTATGCATTAATACAGTCGTGTTTCCCCAGGTTGCCGTAAATACTGTTATTCAAGACGAGAAGGAATTTCTGAACCACGTTGTAAAAGCGACTAACATGAAGTGCCTGACTCCACCGTAAGATTTAGACTATTAACTCTGTTACGTGTGAAATTATTACTTAAATAGATGCACAGAATCATACATAGCTATGGACATATGCGGGCATGCGGAGCATTAATACGTGCATATATAATTATACAACAACCATTCAAGTAGTTGGCATAGTTGTCTATTTTAGTGCGATGTTGGCCATTCTTACAAGTGTCCTACACATGCATCTTAAGAGTAGGAAGAATTCCTTTTGATTTCCTATGCATTCTTGGTGGATCATTGATGGTTCATTAATTCCTGATCATCCTTACTGGCATTAGATCGGCACTGGAAGGAGAGTGTGGAGTCCTCGCTGCTAATCTGTATGCAAAGAGTGTCTTCGGGGAGGATGCTTTGGTGAATGTGAGCGTTGAGAAACAAGCAGATGGTAAGCTAAGTGGATACATCAGAATTAGAAGCAAGACTCAAGGCATTGCCCTCAGTCTGGGGGACAAAATCACCTTGAAACAGAAAGGCGGCCCTTGATCGGACATTAACCCTAATTTTGCAGCTGTTTTTTTCTTCCTCAACCTTGTGAGTACGAGTCTGCTTGCAGCCATAAGCCTATATCTTTTCATCTTGCTCTTACAGTCATGTTTTTCCCGAGGATCAAGTTTGTTATAGTTTGGTTTCTTATGTCCTTGCCTTGGATGTTACATTTAGCTTTGTTCCTTTGATTTTTCGCAGCAAGTGCGTGGATAGGACGTATTGCTATCCACGATATATCCAAAGTAAAGTTGTAGTGATGTCAACCTTACACATTTCTATTGTCAAATGTAACATTTCGTGTTTTAACTTTGTACTAGCTGTTGCTATCGGTCCACAGTATTTGTGCCAGTATTTTCTGCCCGTTGCGTTGCATATTTCACCTTCAAGTTTACCGGGTCGCTTTGCTTTACTTTTTTGCATCAATCGACATTCACCCCCCTTGGGGAAAAGTTAACAACCTTTTTAGTTTCCCTTTGTGGGATGAAGGTAAAGTGTGCACACACACACAATCTCTAAAGTTAACAACTTATCATGTCTTAAAAGCAAGCAAATTAGTCTGTTATGGTACCTTAAAAGCAAGAAACCAGCATTCTCGTTACGCAAAAGAAGCAATTTACTCCAAGGTACACACAAACAAAATAATAGTAACTAAATAAATAAACTTTCCATGAATCTTAACTGCCCCTATTGTTTTTAACAAACGACTGGGTAATTACACTAATTAATCTAAATTACGGGGAATTCGAACTTCGGGTGCGGAGTGTGGACTGGAGCACACTGCTTTTAACCAACTTAACTGTCTTAACCATCCTTATTATATTACTGATGTTCCAACAAAATTTAAGAGATTTCTTGGAAGGTTAATTTATGGGCAAACAACTTTAAGTTCAACAGGATTCAGTAGGCAGTCTTCATTTTTGTGTGTTTATGATGTTATATGTTTTTTAATTTGTTTGTTAAATAAAGGAAATTCTTGGCATGGTGGTTGAGGGTTCTTACGGGGTGTTTATCTTGCAGGTTGAAGGTTGGTTTGAATCTGGTAATTCTCTTTGTTTTCATTTGGTACTGTTTGGTGTGAAGTGAATTTTTATTTTTTTATTTTTTGAGTGGTGTGGAAGAAACCATGACTCTATTTTTTACTGCACTCTTCTGCAATCTTTTGGTGCACTATAAAACAATGTAACCCAAATTTTGGTTCAGTCAGATTGGTTGGGATTCTGAGATTGGAAAGTGCTTTCTTTTTTTTTTTTGGAAATGGCTGATGTTGAAAGTTTTGAGAATCTAAAAGCTGCCCAGAAATTGTTGAAGGCTAGTATGGAGCAATCTACAGCTCTTTCTTCGGAAATCGATGACGCTTCGTCAAGGTTGGATGGCATGAAGCAGAGATTGTCATCTTTGGAAGCTGCAATTAAGCCGGCTGCGACGCAAAAGTGTGGATATTTTGCAATGAGGGACCAAATAAATGGTGCCATCGGTACTGCATCTGCTGTTCTCAAAGTGTATGATGTCGTTCGGGAGCTTGAGAATTCGCTCTCTTTCAAATCATGTTCGGATCTCCCCGCTTATCTTTCGGTCATGAAAAGGCTAGAAGAAGCGTTGAGGTTTCTTGCTGGCAATTGTGGGCTGGCCATTCAGTGGCTGCAGGACATTGTTGAGTTTCTGGAAGGCGACACATTGGCCAATGATCAAAGCCTCTTGAATTTGAAGAAAGCTGTGAGAATACTATGGGTGTTGCGTGCAATCAAGGGTTACGCTCGCCTTGATGGAGGGGTTCTCAATGCTGCATTCAACAAGCTGGAAACTGAATTTGAAAGTTTATTAATGGAGAAAAATGCTGCAACCTGCATTGCTTCATCTCCATTACTTGTGCCGGTAGTTCAAAAGCTTCAAGCCATAGTTGAGAGACTGAATGCTGCTGATCGGCTTGAAAAGTGCATTTTGTTGTACGCTGACGCGCGGAGTTTGAATGCTAGAAGAAGCTTGCAGGCTCTTGATCTCGACTACCTTGAGATAGAAGTCTCAGAGTTTGATGATTTGCAAAGCATCGACTCCGACCAATGGAGCGAGCATTTGGAGTTGGTTGTGAAGCATTTTCTTGAGCTTGAGTACAAACTCTGCAACAATGTCTTTGAGAAGACAGGATTGGACGCTTGGAAGCGCTGCATTGCAAGATTCACTGAAGAGTTTCGACTTGTTTCTTTCCTCCAATTTGGCAGGAGTGTCACCAAGATCAAGAAGGGCCCCTTAAAGCTGTTAAAGCTCTTAGATATATTCACGGTTCTGGAAAATCTAAGGTTGAATTTTAACAGGCTTTTTGGCGGGGAGGCCTGCGCTGAAATCCAAAACCTCACAAGGGATTTAATCAAGAAAGTTGTCAATGGTGCTTGTGAGATTTTCTGGGAACTTCCTAATCAAGTGGAGTTGCAAAGGTGGTTTTCTCCTCCTTCGGATGGTAGCATTCCTGGGCTAGTGACCTTTATAACTAGTTACTGCAATCAACTGCTAGGAGATAATTACAGGGCAATATTGATCCAGGTCTTGCAGATCCATCAAAGCTGGAAAACCGATATACATGAAGATGATGATGATCTTCTTTCGAATCAAATTTTTAGCACGATGGAGGAAATCAGACTAAATTTGGATGCATGGTCGAAGACCTACGAAGACATCTCCCTCTCCTATCTTTTCATGATGAACAATCACTGCCATTTCAGTCAATTGAAGGGCACAAAGCTTGGGGACTTGATGGGAAATTCTTGGTTAGGAGCACATGAGCAATACAAGGACTACTATGCAGCTCTCTACTTGAGAGAGAGTTGGGGAAAGCTTCTGATTCTTCTAACCCAAAAGTGTTGGATTTCGCTTCCTGTCGGGGGAGCAACGGATTATCATCAGGGCATCGACAATAAGAAAAGGCTCAAGGCATTCAACGAGGCTTTCGACGAAAGGTACAAGAAGCACTCGAATTGGGTCATTTCAGACGATTGCTTGAGGCAGAAGGTATGCCAACTTTTGGTGCAGGCAGTTGTACCTGTTTATAGCAGTTACATGCAGGAGTATGGAGTTTTGGTGCAACAAGATGCAAGTGCTAGAAAGTATGTGAAGCACACTACACAAAGCTTGGAGAAGATGTTGAGTTCACTTTTTCAGCCCCAGGTTAGCAAGTATTGCAGCACCAAACATACTCGCTTTATTGGTAGGTTGAAAAACGTAGTGACCAATCAGTTTCGTGTTACGCTTACAGCAGTGTGAGTTCATAGGGTAATGCTAGGAAACTACATTTTACAGTTATAGATTTCTATTAGCAATTTCTTTGTACATATGTACACATACTAATTAAGATGTATTGATTTAAATTATTATTCTTGGATTTCCTATTAACTTCTTCATTCTCATTCGTATTGATGTTCTTGATTTGTGAAAGGAAAAGTTTGTGCCAACTGATTTTCATCAGCACTTCAACAAAAAGAATTTCGAGTGGGATCACATAAAACTAAATCGATTGATGACGAGAACAACTTCTGGAAGTACTATGAGCACTTGAAATTGCAGTTAAATTCTGTCAATTTGATGAACGAAGGTTTACATTCCCATAAAAAAAATCACCAATCTGATAATCCGTAATTTAATCTACGACGTAATTGCAGAAGTGAAACTGCCAAACCACTCTTTACAAACCAACACAGGTGCACCTTCATTCTATGCTACTCTGAAAATTCAATATTTCCTAAAGGAGTTTCTATGATCTTCAAGAGGAAGAAGACAGATGCTAAGAATTAAGTGCCTGCAGTTGCAGCGGGCTCTGTTGATGAAGCATTCCCCTTGTTGTCTGAATCAGAAAGATGTTTGAGGGCTGCTGCTGATGGTCCTGATGGATCACGGCTAGGTTCTCTATGCCGTTGTAGACTGGAGCTCACAAAACGTGGTCTTTTGGGAATAGCGATTTGTTGCCATGTAGTACACGTGCGTGGAAAGTCTTTGCAGAAATCTGGTTTGGAGCTGATGCTGCAGAAGCTGCTTCTGCCGTCATTGGAACCTATACGAAAAGTTTACAAGTCAAAAGCTAAAAAATGAGCTTGCGGGATAACTGATCAGAAATAGAAACTCCTACAGCACTACAAGCTCAACATTATCAAGCTATTCAATCTATAATATCTTTCCCAACTTGGTTCCTTCTTCGGTCTCGGAAGGCAGATAAGAGCAATTATGTAGCATTGTTAACATGCATCCTCTGCCTAATGAACATGGTAAAGTTTGAACAATTGAGTATCAGGTTTAGTACTCTCAACCAAGTCAATCTCCGTAAGGCCTACCCTCAATCTCTCTCTCTCTCGGGAACTAACAGCAGCAACTTCACCTACATAAAATAAGCTAGTGTATGCAGAAGATTGACCAGCATAGTCCAATATAAGATTCATAACCTACATAAGCGGTGCAATGGGATTAGCATCCGCTATTCAAACTGAGTTAGCATGTAAAAAAGAAAATTGCAGCTAATCAAGAGAGTTTGATAGTCAGGATACAAAATCTACAGCCACTTCGCCCAGAAACACCTCTAAATCCTCTTTTGCTGGATATTGATGCTTCCCTTTGCAAACCAGCACGGTAATATACTCCTCAATTAATGAACATATTGATCTCGGTAAATTTGAACAAGTGATTCAACCATGAAGCAACGAAAACTTGTTAACAAGAACAGTTCAAATCACGAATTTGGGTTCAATCATCACGAAATGTTAATTGCATTGCAAACATTTTCTCAGCAACCAAACATACAGTTAATATCAACGCACATTATATATAAGAGAATGATTTATACCGGAGAAAAAATTGAAATCCAAAAATCGGAGTTCTAGAAAAGAAAAAAGAAAAAAGCACACAAATAACGTTATAATGGCAGGACTAAAGAAAAATGTTTTTTTTTATAGTGCAGAACAATTATAAATAACAAATTCTAAGAGCATCCAAATTTATATAAAAAAGGACTTTGAAGAATGTATTATCTGAAGTTGAAGTCGTGTGTCTAACCACCACATGGTGGCCTAGTGGCTGGAGACAAATTATAGGCTTGTATTGAGTTCGATTCCTGCTGCTCGTGAATCGCGCAATGGTGGTCAGGAGAGGTCGAAATGTCTCTGTGAGTCTTCCCAACTTTCGGAAAGGTGGACTGCCATGACGAAACCACTAACCTTTTTTAAAAAGAAGTTTAAGATATGTCTTTTTAATAAAATTGACGGGTTTTATCAGACTCAAAAAGGGAAAGAAAGAGTTTCACATTTGCTTCCTGACAAAAGAAACAAATGTGCCAC